GCACCTCATTTTGTTCCTCACCACTGCACAGAGGCAGATTAGAGCAGTTTGCAGAACCTTGAATATTAAGTACAAATACATACAGCATAAAAAAAAGCCCAAGGACTTATCTACAAATTACAGAACCTCAAGAACAAAAGTAACATTCATGTTCATGGAAATGTAAGTGTATATTATGTATTAATACGATCTTAAATCTTTTTAAAATTAATCACTAAAATATTTGTAAATCAAGCCTGCCCCAAATACATGCAAAACAGAACAATAGCAATTTCAGTTTCTATTACCTGTAGCATTAAAAGTTTCAACAATTTTGCATGCACCACAGACATAAATATTCTGCATCCATTTAAAAAACCCAACTTAGTGAATTTTAGCAAACCAGTGCACATGTAAAAAACCAAACAAGCCAGAAGCTCTCCCTCCACAATTTCTTCCAACTTTATTTACTTGCTCACTATTGATTACCCTAAACCACCTGGGACCTCAGTCCAGTTTTCAACAGCTGTTGTCTCTTCTTCTTCTTCTCAGTTTTAATTTCTATGTTACTTAGACCTTCTGTTTACAGTCCATGCAATGCAAGGTTTAACAAAGTCTTTCCCCTAAACACTTAAAAGAATATTACAATAAACAATTTTAACAAAACTCAACAAATAGCTTGACAAATGGAGTATAGGTGTTAAATGGTAACTGTGAGATGTTGCCTCCTCCTTACTTGAGATGGGAGGAATGCATAAAGTGACAATGGCAGACAACATGCCTTTAGCATCAGCTGTTCTCAATTAATTCAAACAATTAGTTTTGTTATTTTTGATAAAATAATCTGAGATAATGTTATACTTTGCATTATCATTAACTCAAAAGAACACCTGGCATACCATAGCAGCTCTTCTATCTAAACAATTTTCTTTCTCAGGTACATCAGTTTGCTTTACTATTCACCAGAGTTACATTTCATTCAAGGTTAGAAACAGAACTGTGGCTCCTCCAGTCTTCATTTGTACTCCTTGTTTGTTGGTGTTTAATAAACTCTTAACTACGCAGCTCTGCACTAAAATGTTTGCTGTGCTCATTTGTCTCTTCCTTATTTAACTATGCTATGTGGACAGTCACACAGACCAGTTCACTTTGCTTCTCTCCTGACAGCCACTGATTCAGACTGCTGAACATCAAGAACTTGCTGTCATCTCCAGATGTCGTCTTCCAAATAAAACACAGGTCCTAAAGTTTCCAGCACGGGTGACAGTTTCTCAGCTACCCACCAGTGATCCAAATGCATGTCAAGCAAATCCTACAGCCCCACAGATTTTAGTGAGATGAATGGAAAGCCTGCATTCCTGAAAGCGCTCATATCATTATTTTTCCTTTAAAGTTCATCAGACGTTTTAGAATCAAATTGCACACTGCAATCCAGACTGGTTTTCTTTCATTTACAAAGAAGCTGCATTTGTGCACATTTAACTTGACAGCCTTCAGTGCTAGACCCTTCCAACATTCTGTTGAATTTTCTATTTAGAGCCCCACCTCCTGGCACAAAGATTTCTCGTCCTTGTATTTCAAAGGAGAAATTCAAATAGGCCTTAAAGACAAAAACTAGAAGTACTACTTAAATTAAAATTTTTCTGCCCTCTTGGATTCAGGATATTGAGAGCTGATGACACAGAGAATTGCACAGATGCTTTGCACAGATGTAGATGATTACTATAAAGAGAGCCCACCTCTGAGGATGGGAGGATAAATTTCTTATAATTTGGCAAAGACCAGATCTTCAAGTGATACAGGTTTATACAGGAGCTCTGAAGAGGTTACCTGCTGCGAATTAGAGCAAGCTGTTGATTTGGAAACACATAATGCAAACATGCCCTTGTAACTTGAGTAAAATAATTGGTTTTTAAAACAAAAACATTTGCTCTGCAGTCTTGTAATCCAGATATTGCATTGCCATGCACAAAGATTAAAGAGAAATCTGATGAAACCCAAAAGATACAAAGAATGACTGACTCTAGAAAGTGATCCAAAATTCAGGTACCTGCTAAGGACTATTTCACTGCCTCACAACTACACAAAGCAAACAGAAAGCTCAAATATTGACCATGATGAAAAATGGCCATAACTCAGTAGTGAAAGCCAAGTTATAAGCCTCATCAGTCTCCCAAAATTTGGTTAAAGAGAAGAGATAAAAAGAAGTTAGAATTAACAAACTACTCAGATTTCAACTGCTTGAGGTACACCTGAGAATCTATCGCCATGCCTTTTTCTCAGGTGGAGGACTATTTTATAAATTATAAAACACAACATCAACTGCCTGTTAAATGGATGAATATAAATCAGAATTTAAAATTATTCTGGGCATCATTTTGACAGTTATGTTTCACAGCATTTTCCTGACTTGAATACCTTGAGGTCATTTATCCTTCATAATGACAGAGAAATTATGCAGCATGTTTCCAGCTACATTAAGGTCTTGATAATAAAATATTTGTCAGAACCCTGCATACATTTACACATTACAACAGCCAATCACCTCCTTAACACACAACCATATTTTAGCTGTACCTTATGTTCAATTCCGAGTAAGTAGGATACAGAGGATCTTATTCAGAAGATTATTTAGCTGAGAACGGCCTCTGGAAGTGGAGGAATTATCAGAAGCACCGATAGGTGACAGGGATGAGGTTATTATAAGGGAGGCTGAGGCAGCGCATTAGCACTTACGGTACCACAGAGCCTGAAATTAAGCTTGGGGTGGACTCTGGAAATACCCTGCTCGAGTTCATCTCCAAGACGAGGGCTGTGTTTCTCTACCTTGAAGCACCAGCAGAACAGTCAGTCCAAGATCCACAGGTCAGAAAGGTTGCAACATCTGTCACTGTCAGCCTGGTCCTTCCAGCTAAGAGCTCTGCTGACAGCCAGAGAATCCCAGCAGTCCACCACATGGCCACAGTTCTGAGCCAAGGCCAAGGCCAAAGGGGCAATCACAGCAACAGCTCCTGGCAGCCACCTTCTCCTATGGAAACCGCAACAGAAACTTTCCAGCCTTTCCTCCCTGAGGCTCTTCCTTGGGATTTTGCTCACACTGGAAGCTAGGGTAGAGCTGGCTGCAACCCCATTAACTTGATTAGAATCACAGAACTATCTCAAGTTGGAAGGGACCCATACGGATCATTAAGTCCAACTCCCTACTACTTGCAGGACTACCTAACAGTAAGCCGTATGACTAAGAGCATCACCCAGGTTGCTCCCGAACTCTGACAGGCTTGGTGCCATGACCAGTTCCCTGGGGAGCCTCTTCCAGGAACTGTCAGCTTTCTCAGTGAAGAACCTTTTCTTAATGTCCAACCTGAACTTCCTCTGACACAGGTTCATTCCATTCCCTGGTCACCAGGGAGAGGAGATCAGCACCTCTCCCTCTGCTGCCCCCCCTTGAGAAGGTGTAGACTGTGATGGGGTTACCCTCAGTCTTCTCTTCTCTGGGATGAAGAAACCAAGCAACCTTAGTCATCCCTCCCAAGTCTTGCCTTGAAGACCTTCCACCATCTTGGTTATCCTCCTCTGGACACACTGTGATGTGCTTCTTGTATTGAGATACCCATGGTGTCTTTTGTTTGCTATGGAACTACTTCTAGAACACTTATGCCTTATGCCCTCTTCAACAATTACCAGCTAGCCACCCTCAGACTGCACCAATATCATAACTATTCCCAGAGAACCTCTTAGAATCACTAGATATTCACCTCACTCAAGCACCAATCTGAACCTGGTCAAGTGCCAGCAAAGCTAGCTTTTACAGCACAGTAGGCCTAGATTTGAAATTCATATGTAGAGCAGCAGGCCAGATCAACAGAAACAAAACCTGAGCCAGAGTAGAAGCAATAAGCCTAACATTATTGCCTGAAAAGGGACAAAACATTCTCCCGATAGGCCAGCCAGGCTGCTAGACCAGGCATGGTGTTCACACCAGTGCAAAATCTGACCCAGCAAATCAGAGGCACTGAGAATGGGACTCCAATGTGTCACCTTACAGTGATGCATAGGGCAGCATCAGAATGCAAATGTTTTTTAAAAAATGCATCTCATGCATTTTTTTCCTTACAAGAATCCAAATTAAGCTTTTAAAATACGTACTTCTCTATGTTTCCAGCCTACAAGGTACACTCAGCATCTTTTGCATGTTTGCATTCACAGCAAAAACTAGACACAGATGACAAATGAGCATTCAGTGCCATACGACAGCTCAAACACAGGATCAAGATCTGCCCTGAGTGGCCATGATGAAACTGAGGATAGCAATCCAGAAATTCGAATCGCACAGCTGCCTGAGCGGCGTCTCAGCACTTAACGGCTGTGAGAAGAGGCATGTGCTGCACGTACAAAGACATGCATCTTGCGGGTCTGCATTTGCAAGAGGGGATGTCTGCACACACAGCCACAGCCCCCCCGGCCTGGCACGCAGCGCATTTCCACAGGTACGTGCTCGGCAAGGAGCACTGCGCGAGGCTGCGCGCATAAAGGGCCGGGCAGAGATGCACCGCGGGTAAAAATAAACCGGGGGCACACCCCTGGAGCGGCTCTTCCCCCCCCCCCCCCCCCCCTTCCCCCGCCACCGCACCGGGCCCAGCCTGACCTCCCCGGCTGCGGGCTCTGCTCACGGCACGCTTGGCCCTGGAAACCCTCCCTCGTACCGGACAGCGCACCTGCCCCCCGCACGGGGAGGCAAGACAATGGCCAACCGGGCACAATGGTGCGTGACCGGAGGGAGGCTGAGGCACGCAGGCTGTCTGCCACACCTCTCCATCCCCACCATCATCCCCATCACCGGCTCCAGCTTGTCTCTCCTCCACTCCATCACCTCCATCTTCACCTCACCTGCACCCTCTCCCCCACCGACCCCACGCCCCGCGCCACCGCCCGAGCCCCATCCCCGGTCCCCCGCAGCAGGCCGAAGTCATTGTTCCGCCGACCGCAGGGCCCGAGCGACCCTCCCGGCTGCCGCCGCTCACCGTGCCGCGGCCAGAGGAGGATGCCGAGCGGCGAGGGACGAACGCAGCTCATCCATCTTCCCGCTGCCGCGACGGCTCCAGCGCCCAGCACCGGCCCCGCCGGACTCCTGCGCGCCGACGCTGACGGCGGGCGCCCGCCCCGCCGCCTCCCCGCGGCTGAGGCCTGCGCTGCCGGGCCGGGGTCTGCGGCAGGCCCCGCCCCGCCGCCGCAGAGCCGCGCTCCCGGCCGCCATGGCAACGCCGCGGCGGATGGCGGCGGCGAGGGGAGCCGCAGGACGAGCAGGGCTCGCTGCGGCCGCAAGTGCCCGTGCGGCGGAGGGGCCGTGTGAGGGCTCCGAGCGGTGCTGAAGGGGGCCCGGCGCGGCTTCGGAGCGCTCCCTGCCTCGAGCACCTGTGCAGGCCGCGGGGAGGGTACTGCAGGCAGACACAGCGGCCCCCAGAGAACGAGCCGTCGGCAAGGCGGGGGGCGACTTGTGAGGCCGTGAGCCTCAACGCAAGGGCGTTCTGGGAAACAAGCTCTAGACCGGACCGAGTGAATCGGAGCTGTTTATACCCCTCAGGGACCTGCAAGAGCAGTCGCACTTCTGCCGGCGAGGTGTCAGGCGAGCAATGGCCACAGGGTCCTGCTCTTCACGCTCCTCGTAAGCTCCCTCATCCCCATCCCTTACCGACTGCAGCGACATCCCTAGAAGAGGGCGGTAGGCTGACAAGAATAAACACGTCAAGAATTGCAGTCATGACCCTTTTGGCCCTTCACGGAGATAAGGATTGCTGTTAGAGCTGACAAGGTGTACGATTTCTGCAAAAACAGACTCCCCTGGTTGTGGACGAACCGATAACAAATGTGGGTTTAGGTCTTAGGCTTTTTTCTAACCACAGCAACATGCAGGAAAACAAAAAGCAAAGAAAGAAAAAGAACACAAACAAACAAAAAACCCCAACCCAAACATTTACAGAATAAAAGATAGTTTAGTACTGGAGTTGTAGATTATCTCAATTTCATAATGTATTTCCCTCACGAGTGACAAAATCAGAACAAAACTAGCAGCAAAGGCTGAATTTTCAGTCATCCATCCTGAACACTGAATTCCATCAGAGCCTCCCCTCAGGATCTAGTGGTTGAGCGATTGAAAAAAGCTTCAATGCCCAAGTAAAACAAAGTTCTGTTTTTTAACGACTGCTGTGATCTGTATACATCTAGCCTAAATGTTTTCTTTTGCATGTTTTGGTTACCGATTGCATAGCTCTGCACACGAGAAATGGAAGGTCTGAAATATACTGAATAGGGAAAAAACAACTCTGAAGAACACTAAGACATATAATGTGGCACAAGTGCTCTGGGATTGCAGGCACAGAGTTTGCTTTCTCAAGAAAACTAGTTTAACTCTGCAGCCTGAGTGTACAGGGGAGAAACAGATTTTTCCAGCTATGTATTTCTGTTGCAGGTATCTCAGCACCACTGAAACAACATTTGGAGGGTACAGCCAGGCAAATTCCAAAGTGAAGTCTTGAGCAAAAGTAAATCAGAATATGGACAAATTCATGTTTATGGCACTGGAACAGGTCCACATCTACAGACAGAAGTAGCAGAAAAGGGATACTTGCTTACAACCAAGAATCCTTTCCTAACCATATGTAGGAAAAAGACTGGCTTTGGTTACTACAGGTCTCAAGCAGAAGAGAATAGAGGAGCTGTCGACCTAACATTCAGAAGTTCTGACAGCTGAAGGATCTTGCCCCACCTCCTGCCTATACCAAGCTCACTCTCTGTTCTGTTCCTTTATTGCAGAATGTCTCCTCACATGGTAATAACTGCTGGCTGAGAAACAAGAACACTTTAGCAATGGTGGACTGACAGCAAATGGTAGCAAAAAATATTAACGGATCAGTGGCTAAATACACTAATAAACGTCAGAGATGGCAATCCATCTAGGCCACAACTTCAGGACAGTAAATCTGGCAAGCTCCTAAACTGCAAAGAAAGGAACGTAGAAAATCATGTAACACATCAATATGTCAGTGAAACCCCTGGTAAATAGCCCAGGAAACAGCAAGGGTCAGTTGTAGTTCTGGAAACAAAGTCCTGCATCTTACTAGGTAGAAATACTGAAAGAAAGACTATACCAATCTTGGAATAAGCAATTGCACTAATAGCAGTTAAAGCTTTAGAAAAGTGTTCCAAAAATGTAACCATAATGGGTCTTTTTGGTTTATTTTACAGGGTGATCTCCAAAGGACGATAGCTTCAAGAGAAGTAGTTGGACCTATTAGTAGCATTGTTGATTTCAGTGATGTCCTTTCAAGCACAAATACAGAAAGACTCTAGGAGAGATTAGCAATGAACTATGACTGAAGAAGGATAAACTCAGACAGAACCAGGACAGAAAGAAGGCTCCATAAATCAGTACTAAAGGACAAATATCTGTCTAGAAATCAATTTGTTTCCAAAATTTAATCTCATGATGCACAATTTTAACTGGTAAATGTGGCTGATGTAAAAACCAGCATCTCTTTTAAAGTGTTAATAGTTCTCTGTAAGACTGATTGTTCCTAGAAAGCATAGAGTTTGAAAGTTGTTCTTCAATGCCTCAAGTATTAGAATTCTTTCATAGCATTCTAATGATTATTTATCCTACATAGAAAGCTTTTTTGTTTTAGCAGAAGAGAAAGACAAAACTAGCAGATTTATTTTGCTGCACAAGTTGTTTAATTTACATTGTAAGAACTTGCTGTTTGTGTGGCATAAGGATTGATCATCAATTGTCATTACTGAGCTTTAAGGTCTCTGATATATATAGCAAGATGTGACATTTATATACGATAGGATACTAAAAAGCTAATAGACTGCTTGTAGTTTTAAATATACTAGCAGGCAATATTAAAAAAAATGAGGTCCCATTGCATCCTCAGTTTTAGGACAGTAGGTAACCTCTACTTATGTGCAGTTTGCTCCTTGTTCTTAAAAAAAAATAAAAAATAAAAAAAAAAAAATCACTCCCACCTTGTATAATGGATGTCATTACCAGCAGGCACTGCCACACTTCCAGAGCTTCCATAGCAGAGACGCCCATCAGTACATGTCCATCACACACATCTTTGAACTTGGCACCAAGTGCGTTATCTAAGCCAGAGGTAAGGGACACAAAATGGTGACCTCACAGTCTTCATAACACAACTTTGACAACCCTACTGCATCTTTTACAGGTATTTAAATTCGGTGTATCTGGAATAAGTATCCTCCACATCAGGGGAAACCAGGTTTCACTGGTTGTCCCACCTTTGAAACCCAGCAGGCAAAGTGCATTGTACCAGATCAGTGCCATTCCACGGTTCAGAGATGGTGAACACAGTTAATCCCTACTGGCAGCCTCCCACACTGACATCTGTATTTAACATAGGACCTTTACAAGCACCACGGTTTGGACAATCTTCATTACAAAACATTCAACTGAGACATGGACTATTTCCCCCTATGGAAATCTTCAGACAATTATAAAACTCAGTGGGAGATTCCACTACTGGATAGCTCTGTGGGAACTGGAGCTTGTTTAGCATGAACACCTGCAGATTATCCATAACTGCAGATTATTAATAGCATATCAATATATTCATAGGTGGCTATTCATTACCCAAAATGTATACAAGCCTCAGGTACTTTTTAAAAGACCTCCAGGTTGTATCAAGCTTACAAGTTGTAACTGAATAGCACCGAGATATTTGGCTGAAGTCCTCTGAAGTCGCACATTAAACTGATATCCCAAACTGTTACAAAGTCCCATTCCCTTCAGGCAGATGAAGCCCAAACATAACACTGTCCTCATCTGAGGGGTACCAAGCATCAGTGAGCAAGACAATTCAAGTCAAAGGCAGCAGTGTTATTAACCTCTGGCCTTCACTGCCTCTACAAAATACAGGATCACGGTTGGTTACAAGGAAGGGTCTTACAAGCAAGAGCAAATTTACTTCATGATGTGGGAGAGGGATTGCAGGACCACCTTGCAGGACCTGCAAGATGCATCATCAGATGCCAGGAGAATAAACACAGACCCTGTGGGAGGGGAAAAGACGGGTCAGGGAGGCTCAAGCATGGGAAAAGTGCGGGGAGGCAGGGAATGAGGATGTTGATGGGAAGGGGCAGACAGAGAAGCTGCATATTCACAGGTTGCTGCTCAGTAACCCTTGTCTGGCTGAGACCACTTGCCATGCTTTTATTGATTAAGTATTACTGCTTGTTTTCTATGTTATTGTGCTCCTAACTCTGTGTACACATGCATGTTCCAATAGCAAGCACACAAGAGAAACCCCAAATCTATACATACCCTAGGTTCAGGATTGACTGCACAACACACCCAAGGTCTAGACATGGAAAAAGGTCATGGGCAGAGAATGGAGAGACTGAAGAATATGAGCATGTACTCAAGTCACTGTAAGCATGTATGTATGTTCCACTAGCAGACTTTAAGCAAGCGGAAACATGATCAGGCCAGTTCTGCAGTTTCTGTTTTAAGCAAAGACATCTAAGAGCACTGTACTCTTGTTTATGGTAGTTGTTAATTTATGGTCATGGCTGTAGTGCACAATTTAAACTGCGTGAGCAGGGACAAACAGCAGCACTGGAGGGGAGGAATCCCATATAACATCCTGTTCACAAGATGCGGCGATCCGGAACAAAGTGGTCCCTTACAGCTCATTCAGTTTCATTTGCAACAGTACACATGAAAGCCCAAGGACAGTAATTTAACCATTAGTTTTTAATGGTGTTATCCCAGTGGCTGCTTTTCTACTGAAAGCCAAAGTATGTCAGATCCACAGACAGAAAGACAAGCAGCTGTCACCTACAGCTACTTGGAATTCCTCTGACATCTGTCAGTACTGACACATAGACATGGCACTATACCTAAGTGCCCATATCTACTGCTTCAGTGAAACATCTGTGTAGTTCAAGACAATTAAAAGTCATTAAGTAGGCAGGCAACAGTTCCCAACATAGATGGCAATGATACCACCAAAAGGTCATCCAAAGAAGTTCAGTAAAGACTAGAGGTAACACAGCAGAACCAAACTTCAAATACATTTTAACTCAAGCAGACAAGTTTTTTCTGGTCCCTCAGTTAGGAGTGGTCCTGCACATGGAAACATTCTGCCCTCTGACTGGAATGACCAGGTGA